TCTCAGGAGTTCTTGATAAGAGAACAATCCAACTGAACAGATGCTTATGGCAGGCTTTTGGGAAGCACAAGCAATGAATGCTTTGTTGAGTAAGGCAGACAAAGCCGGGAATTCTGGGAGAAGAGTGAGAGACAAGCCAATCAATAAACATGAGATAAACAAACAGTGTCTTGCAATGGATGCTGTGAAAACAATAGCCAGGCAGGGCGTAGAGGACAAGGTACTGCGGCTCTAAGATTAGCTGGGACAGGAGGGTTGGGAGTTGGAGGGCATCCTGGGCTACATGTTGACAGCCTGTCTCAAGAACTCAACCCCAAACGTTAGTAGAGCTGAGATCGGAGGAGAAGGGGGGCAGAACAGCTTGTGCGTGGCCTTGAGCTCAGTGGCACGATGCCGATGGGCTGGTGGAGGACTGGGCAGGGAAGAGGGCTGTTTGAACTGAACCTGAAGCCTGGGGCCCGGTTGTGTGGGGGCACTGATGGCCAAGAGAGGGAAGCTGGGTTCCAGTCTACTGACTAGAATCATCAGCCTGCCTCTTGGCTAAACCCTGGCCTGTTCTGGCAGCTTTCTATATACACACAGGCACACACACACACACACACACACACACACACACATACACACACGCGTGCGCGCGCACATGCTGAACTGCCTTAGACCCTCTGCCTCCCTGGTCTCAGGCATGGGAACACGGGTTCCAGAGGGAGATTAGAGGATCGGTTCCTCCTGTGCATGTCTCTGTCTGCCTGGTAGCTTCCTTCCTGCCTCCCACATGAACTGGCAGCATCTTCCAGTGCCAGGGCCAGATTTAGTGAGTGTCAGACGCTCAGATGTAACAGCCCTGTCCCTGCCCTCAAAGCCACCTTCCTCTACTGCAGGAGACTAAACAGGACAATTAGACAATGTCCCAGCTTGCTTCTCCTTTCTACCAGTGGCTACACAGACAAGACCAGCCTGGGCTACATGAGACCCTGCCCCTCCCCGCCAAAAAAATAAAAAAAAACCCAAACATTTTAAACTTCTACTTCATACACACACAGACAAGTTAATGAGTCTGGTTCAAAAGAGAACTCAAAGGGAGATTGTGTGCAGATCGTGAAGGAACAAGGGAAATGTTGTTATGTCGTATAAGATACTGGTTAATGTCCTGTAAGGAAACTACAATGTAATCCCTGGTGGTCCTTTGTGTCACTGGACAGAAATGGATGGGTTAACATGTAACTCCAGAAGCAGATCTCTAATCAATAGTAAACAGCTGAGCTCAGCATAGACAATCCCCTGGGAAAGATTGACCCAGGATGAGCTCGGGGACTGAGCTCCAGTCCAACGTTGAACGCACACTCCGTGGACCTTTGACTAGTGGGTCTTTGTGTTGCCAGTTCTCTCTCTCTCTCTCTCTCTCTCTCTCTCTCTCTCTCTCTCTCTCTCCCATGATGCATCTTTGTATCTGTCTCTTCTCTGTCAGATTCTGGGTCTCTCGTCTCCCCTAGCTCTGTCTCTTTCTCCGCCTTATCTAACACGTTTCTCTAGTTGCCTCTCCAAGGGTCTGCAACAGGAGCTCTGGGAAAGTAACAGCTGCAGCCCACTCATCCTGGCCTCTGTCCATGTTTCTTCACAGAGTCGGAAGGCATCCCAAGGAAATTCTTAGGGCCTGGAGGAGAGGAGCTGAGGGTGTGGAGATGTGGCAGGGCAGGGGAGGGCCAGAGCAGCTGCAGTGGGCTGGGGCAAGCTCCAGGCTTCAGCTGCTGGGGCGGAGGTGATTTCACACCGCAAAAATGTCTGAATCAGGAGAATAACTCAACTTGGGATGGGTCTGGGGAGGTGGCAGTTCAGTCGGCGAGGGGAACAATTGGAGCCCGCGGCCCTGGACCAGATGAGTGTCTGGCTGGGACCTGGCCTGGCCTTTGGGTCTCATTGCTCTGGTATCTCAGCCCATGCTGCAATGGACGGCAGAGTCTGGCTCCTTGGGAGATCATGGGGAGCTGATGAGAGGCCTGGGGTGGCGGAGTGGAGAATCCCACAGGCTCTGCCAGCACAACTGAGCATCCAGCACTGAGTGAGGAATTCAGGAGACAGAAGAGGAGGAAGGTTGAAAGGAGCTGAGAGTACAGCTCGGTTGTGGATCACTTGCCTAGCACAAGGCTCTGGATTCCCTAGTCCTTTTTTTCTTTTTTTAAAAAGGAATTTCTGGGCTGAGTGTGGTGGTACATGTGTTTAATCCCAGCACTGGAGAGGCAGAGGCGGGAGGATCTCTGTGAGTTTGAGACCAACCTGGTGTATATAGCAAATTCAAGGCCAGCCAGGGCTGCATAGTGAGACCCAGTTTCAAAAACAAAACTACAGCAAAAAACTCTCCCAAAACAAAACAAAAACCAAAAAAGAAAGAAAAAGAAAGGAATTTCTACAGGTCTGATCATTTTCAAACATCTGATTAGCTGTAGGACTCTTCTTTCCGATTAAAATAGCAAAGCGACAGCTACCAATGGGGAGCACAGAGGAAAGAGGGCCATTGCCTGGGCCCTCGGCTGCTGTTGTTGTGAAGTCTGAGCAAACGGGCACCTCATCTCACACACAAGCGAGCTAAAGCCCAGTGGCAGCAGTGCCCCCGTTGAGGAGCCAGGGTCTTTCAGCTTTTCTTGTAGAACTCTTTTCAAAAAGGTGGGCAGCAAGATGGCTCACCCTTTCAAGTACGGGCACCCAAAGGTGACCCCAGGCGGGGCTTTCTCCTTCAGGTGGGTTTCAGCTGAAGAGAAACCTTTCAGGAGGGGAGAAAGCACCAGACCGTATCTGAGTCAGGGTACTTGGTCTCCGGGTTGCAAAGTGAACTTCAGGTGTACTGCGGCAGAAGGGCTGCTCACCTGTCACCTGGTGCTGAAGGTGTTGAGTCTGCCTGCTGGGTCCCTGATCTCCTCCAACCCCCTTCTCCTGCTCCAGGGGTGAGAGGAGGAGGCTGTGGGGAGGAGAGGGACTATGGGTTCTGAATCTGGACATGCTGAACTGCAGGCTTCCCCGGATGGAGAGTCAGTGGACCCAGCATAAATTAGTACATCAGAAGTTTTTAAATTTTTGTTGTTTGTCGAGATGGAGTCTTACTCTGAAACCCAGACTGACTTGAAATTCACTATATAGACCAGGTTGGCCATAAACATGCAATCTTCCTGCCTCGGCCTCCCAAATGCTGGGGCTACAGGCCTATGACGCCATGATCAACCTCAATTTTTTAAACAATACTATTTATTTTTATTTGTGTGTGTGTGTCTATGTGCACACACATGTGCCACATACGTGCAGTGCCCAAGGAGGCCAGAAGAGGACATTGGATCCACAGGAGTTGGAGTCACAGGGGATTGTGAGCCTCCTGATGTGGGTGCTGGAAACTGAACTTGGGTCCTTTGGAAGAGCAGCAAGCACTCTTAACTGCCAAGCCATCTCTGGACCCCCAAATTTTGCTTTCAATACAAGATCTTAGGTTGAAGCAGAGCTGGGCTAGAGACCTGCAGAACAGCCTCCTTTCCCCTTTGTCCCCCTGAAACTTAGGCATGCAACTGTGAGGACTCCAGGATGTGAGCAAGCCACTTGAGAACCCATGAGGGGGTCCAGCAGCCAGGAGGGGGAGTATACCACAATGGCAGTGTCAGGAGAAAGCAGCTACCGGTGGGGTTGGCTTTCTCTCGGGATCCATGGCAGAGATGGGTAACGCCTGGGATGCTTAATCTAGACCCTTCTTCGCCGGCCTGTGAGATCCCTAGGAGGTTCTTGGAGCTCCAGGCTGCTCTGGGACCGGGTGGCTGAGTCACGGGCTGGGCTGCCACGTCCATGCCTGGCTGGTCTTCATTATTTCTGGCTTCCCACACATCTGCTGAAAGTAACAGAGGTTTGGTTTGGCTTGGCTTGCAGGCCACGTCAGGGGACATGCAGTCTGCCACGCTGTCAGGGCTGGGCTGCTCTGCTTTCCTCCTTTAGAAAAGAGTTCCAGGCTTGTGGGGTTTCGGAGGAAAATTGGTGCCTGCCTATGAATGTTCCTGGCCAGGGACCAGCAGCTACGATATTACAGACCAGGGACTGGGAAAGGCAGAGCCAATCTACTGCAAAGCTTCTCTACCCTTGCTGAAGGCAGCAGGAGAGAGCACAGGCCAGAAGGGACCTTGTACCCCAAAGGCAGGGGTGCAGGTGCTGGAGGAGTGTCCTAGTTTG